CGTGCAGCAGGACAAACAGCTAAGGCTTCTAGATAGTGCCAGAGTACCAGTAGGAATGGCATAAAGAGAAGAAGACGCCCTACGTTGAGAACTGGTCCGTCAGCTCGAGTCTGGAGAGTTATAGTTATAACTCATGGTGACAGAAGGGGGCCTGGTAGAAAAAAAGCACTATAGTAGTCTATAAAAGTTGCTGGCTAATCGGTTGAGTCGCTATACCCTCTAGCACTCAATAGCCTTAAAGGGAAAGGTCATAAATGCAAATCGACTTTTGCTACTGTCTCCTAACTAAGTCAAGGAACACTGGGGATCTGTCTGTGAAACATCATTCGACATGTCGAGTTATTTAACACAGCCGCGATATAAATACCATACAGCATATAGTCATAATATGATGGCATAAACCACTGACGCAGTATTAAAACATGCAGGAATTATATTTGCTATGGTTGCAACTTTGCTTTCCTTTTTCTATATAAAATATCCACTTTTTCGTTATAAATCATTTTCATTTGTTAGTTACTAACTGTATCTGGCGAAAAAATAGTACATTAGTACATATATTTCCGTACAGCAACACGTCCATTATGATACACGAAATCGGAACAAAGAACTCCTTCCGTTATTAAAATAATTTTTATGCCACAAAAACGTTCCCCAGACTTTTTACGACTTCTTTTTTTCAGCAATATTATATACTCTTCCTTATACTGGAGTTGGACATTTTATCCTGCGCGGATGTGGATTTGGAATAGCATTCACTGATTTTCCAATTATCACAGTCAGTCCAGAAGCGACATCAAAATTTTCGTAATAATTGCCACTGCCATATTAGCAAAAGTTAACATGGTAACATGAAATAAAATTTAGCGCAAAATATTGTCTCTATAATATATTTATTTTTGGGTTTCTTTTGTCGAAGGAACAGTCTTCTTTGTCTTCGTCAGATGGAATCCCCTTGCGCAAATGCACAGACGTCTCTATACACTATAGAACTGTTTCGCAGCAGTTTCCGCCGTAATGCCAGCAAAAGTTTCCAAGGATTAGCCCGGACAATAGGCCGTGCGGCGACTACGATGGCAGCAGCAGCAGCGGGACAAATTATATTGGATCAGGAGCAAAGCCAGGTAGACGATGATATTATACTAAAACATGAATACAGAATGCAATCTATATCCGATAAGTGTCAGCGCACGATTCTCTCGGGTCTGATAGCTGCCGCTTCCGTCACCGAACGAAGCAGCTGGACCGATCAGAGAAACAAGCTCCTAAAGAGGCCTGATGCTGACGAGGACACCACAGTACAGCACAAGCAAGAGTAGTAGCGCCAGCAGCTGCTGTACGCAAACGTCCCAAAATACCGACCAGCCGCTGGAGACTAGCTGCATACCCTTTCGATGAGATCACATGGGCGATGCTCGTACGCTCACTGAGGACGATTGCCTGACCATTCAAAAGGGAGAATCACAAGCGGCCAGCCAACAAATGGAGGCCGCAGCGCACAACGAGTTGCTATGCGAACAAATCAATCTTCGCGTGACGCCTCTCAAGCGCAGAAGCGCTTGGTACATACACCTACACATACACACAAACACATATACACACACGTACTCACCTTTTCACTCACGATTAAATGCCGTCTGTTAATCTTTTCAAATCCAATGAAATTTACACTTAACTATAAATTATCTTTACTACTGTTCGCTCTTTTAATTGAAATCAGCTAGATGTGAGTTTTGCCAGGCAAATATCTCTTAGTTTATATTCCTAATGAAGCTAGCTCCGGAAAAGTGGCTTTGACTATATATCAGTCACCATAGTACAGTTCATGGTCCAAATTGTTTGTTGTTTCTTTTCATGTAAACATTATAGACTTTGTTCAGGTGCTGTCAGCTGACGATAGATCCCCAATATTTTTGTGGGAAGAAACCGGTTACGGACAGCGGACAGCTGTCCCGTTTCTGTCACTATGGATCTCTACAAACCGCTTTTCGACAACAGCTAATGACACTGATAACGCATGATACTGCAGCAATTTCAGTGAATGCCATCACCAAACATGCAACTGAAAGATCACCCCCCAAAAGGTAGTTACCGACATCACCCCGAGCCACCACACCCGTTACCTCGACAAGTCGATGACGCCCAACCACAAACAACTCATCAACGAGTCACGATGGAGATGTCGCCTGGACGCTGACTGTGACTGCTTTCGAAACAGAAGGGCATGGGCAAACCGTTGACCTCATCGTAGGATCAGTCGCAGACCAGCGACCCATGGTCAGGCTTTGACCTTCATATTCCAGTTAAGTCTCTCTCATTTGGCAAATTCCATTTGCCCATACAGAATCGGCAGAGGCGAGATATATAAAGCCTTACATAGTCCGTTTCTCGCGCTGGCTGCCCATCGAACTTTACAAACGCATCGCCGTCGTCGAACACGCCCCACCTGCTATCAAGCAATCATTATTATTCCTGCTAATCACGGCTGTTATTCTGCTTAATGTCATGAGCCACTGCGTGTACCTTCCTCTTGGCTTTTAATCCGCATTTGTTCTACTTTGGCTTCTCGTCAAGATCGCTCGATCCGAACAGAGACGCACGTGCCTTGTTTTATGACGTACCGCTAGCTCTCGAAAACATACGGAACGACAGACGAATGTACAGGCAATTAGACCGTAACAATATGGACGACGATTAAATTCAACCCAATAACAGCAGTTAGACTAGGTGAAAGTAGTTGCCATTCTTATCAGTTGGTAGAGTTGTCTACTGAGCCGGACGCATTTCATTATAGAATCGTAGTGGCCGCGGAAAGTTTGCACCTCCGTATTCGCAGCTGCCACCGCCACGGCGGGAACATCCCTCTAACTGCTGCTGCTGCTGCTGCTGCTGCTGCCGCCGTTTCTTTTACCTTATCTATTAACCCTATCCCCTAACCACAAAGTACCACAACCTTTACGTAATAACAATGTCGTATATAGAGATTCTTGTGACGATTCTGCGCCGACTAGCGCTGCTATTATCAGCGACCGTTGTCGACTATGGTTGTTCTAATAGCCAATGCATTTCTAGATGTCTGAATGTCTACCTGTGCTTCTAAGAAATCCAGCCTAGCTAACAACTGCCGCAGCCGGCTGGTACGGCAAAGCCGGCAAGAAGATGGCAATCGGTCACTTCCAAGTGAGACACAAACAACGGGGAGAGTGACAAAGGCCACAGCGGTCGTAGTAATGAGAGTGGCACTGGAAGTCCGCAGAAGGTCGAAAGATGGGCGCGGCTCAATACGGAAAGACGACCAGCGCGCTACGGCCCGGGCAAACGACGATCGAAAACACCAACGACAGTGGCAGTGAGAGCAACGCACCGCCGCTGTAGAACGAATACGAACATCAGACCATTTCAGCTCGAATAGGGGCGAAGTGTAGCTCTGCCAAGCAAGGATATCACTGACGTTGGCCGTCGTCGTTGCTATATCTGTGACACAGCTGCCGTTTCGCCCTGTTATCAAATACCTATGCGCGGCGACACGAGTAATGAAGTTAACAATACGCAATATCCTTTGTTGCCTTTACCTTCAGTATCCGCGATTGGATCATTATTGTTGGCCACAGGCTGAGCAGCGTGACTGCATTCGTATTGTAAGCATCTATCTTACCGTTACATTTTGCCCTGTTGCAGCCGAGCCATGAATTTGACAACGAGACTCTCTTCTCTAGAGTGAGGTACGAGCAACATCACCGGGAGTCCGAAAAATAACTTTTCAATAAAATAACCAAAGTGAAAGACAACGAACCAGAGAGACAAGGGGAACAAATCGCTTGAAGCACGCGCCTGGGGGCATCTGAATGTTGAACGGACAGAAAAATACGCGAATGTTATCTTTCTCTATTTCTTTCTCCATATGTATAGAAGATTAGTGCCAGCGTGTCTAAGAGCTACGACGACTAACTAGCGAATGTCCATTCTATTGGTATAGAAGGGACGCACGCGAAAAAATACACCTGACAGGGGTTGCGCGATTACTCGTAAGCAATTAGCAATGTAGCCAAGTCCCATTATCGATTCGTTTTCACAGACAGAGATCGTAACTGTTCGACTGTGAATGATACAATACAGCTACCGAGTTGGACGATCAATGCGATTGACCGGAAAGCCGAGCCAGTACAATGGTATAGAACACAGTCGCTAGCGAACAGAACTAATTAAAGCACGTGGGTGCTCAGTCGAGGTGCCGTTTGTCCTCGTTCTCGTCCCCACAACATAAATAGGTCAGCTACAACTTGGTGAGCAAATTCTGCCAGAGTTATTGAGTCAGTCTAGTTGGACAGTATTACTTCACGTCCTCCTCGCAGGTTTAATGAAAACCTTCAGGTACAGAAGATAAGCTACATGCAAATTTTAGGGGGCATGAATACAAAGTCGTCTGTCACTTTAGTATACCATTCGTTTCAGACACTCACTTGGATTCTCTAACTATTGCCTGCCTACTTGACTTGTTTTTACCTTTCGATCCTAGCAATTTTTTGTAGCCAGTAAGAAACTCGTTAAAAAAATAGTCCTATCCCCGCCTGACGTCACAACCGGTCATCCGACGACTCGCTGCAACAGAAAAGGTTTGTCCTACCTCCTAGACACGTTCTCACCCGTCGCCACCGCCAATTATCATCGATGTGCAATCTAGCTTCGTTCTTGCCATCCTTCCCTTTACTGCTGACAAGAGCAAACGTTGCTTTCTATCAAGGATAACACCGCAATCAACTCGACATCGTGGCCCGTCTCCTTCGAAATATGGGTACACGCATTTGGTAATACTCTCTAGTACCTAGTCGCTTAGTCACTCGGTCACTCGCTAATTAACTGGTTTCTATTCTCTATACTCGTTATCACTGCCCGGTGGCCGATCGTGGGGTCGGATACCTTACCACTCCTAGGTCGACCCCTTGCATTCACATTATTTCAGCAGGATTCGGTCTTATTCTGCTCGACCGAAAAGGACTTACCCATTGCAACGGTGAGGTTTCGGCCAGAGGCGCGTCTCGTTCGTTAGTAGATTGTATAGAAGACACAGAGCATACACAATTTATATGCAGCAATATATAGAAGAGATGGTGGTCCGTTGTAGAACTGGTAACCCGTCACCTAGTGCTTTTTACAATTTGCTAGTTAATGGTTCATTGGAACAAACTTACAGACGTACATATGTACTTTTGTTGCAAGTTCAGCCAGTACGTCCGATACTTGTTATTCCTTATATGGGGGATATTAGAGTTGGTGAAGTTGTTTTTGTATAATGGGCCACAATGCTTGAAATGGCACTCTCTACAAGCCGATTTCGTGGTAAAGCTGAGAAGATCAGACACCATTGGCCGTAGTACATCCGACTAAAGTGTTCCGAATCAAAATTCACGAAAAAGAAGTATCCCCGTTAAACTCAATTGAAGAATCCTTAAGAATAATTCAGTGAACTCCAGAATGAAGGGAGTTCCTTCTCCGGTAGCTTGGTGACACACAGAAACCTTTACTATATAGATACCAAGTAGAACAAACGACACTTCCAAGTAGATAGCTGCAGAAGTTGGTCTTTTCTATTACTTTCTGCACGCGATCATAGTTGTAAAGGCCAATGGAGAGGTTTCTCACGAAGAAAGGCACGAAAAGACCTTGCGTTATCCAAGGCTACGTACACAGCGAACTCCACTTACTCCAGACCTCGTAGTTGCAAGGTTCTGCCTCTTTGATTTTCTTTATTCGCTTTATCTCACACAAATACGCTCTAAATTAGACTAACCAGCCAGCTTATGGAACAACTGAGTACTGTGCATTGAAGTGCATAGTGAAGGGAAAAAACTGAAACGAAGGGAAAAAAACGAAGAGTTAGTCCGGTTTAGCGCGTGTGACGTAGAATCGCCGCCGGAGGAGAGCAGCAAGTGTCTCGGCTTATTCGTTGCGCGTTTTAAGTTCGCTGCTTTTTTTTCGACTGAACATTTGTTACGGTGCTGCACCTCGACAACGCGGCCAAATAGACAATGCACAGTTGTCCTGCCGCCAAACAAACATCAACGCAACGTTTGTTGACACCAAAATCCGACAACGAGAGTAGGTTATGTCATCCGTCGTTCCAGCAACCAGCCGCGGTTCGGTCGATCAGCAGCTATCCACTATCGTAAGATAGGTAAACAGGCACCGGTGGGGTAGTCCAATACACTCTATGGTCGAAGATCGGTTCCTACGGCCGGGTTACGCTATTTTAGAACGGATGGAATTCTTGCAGCTGGGCACCCGCTAAAGCAGTTAGCAAATTACTCAGATAGCTACTCACAGTGAATGAAAAAATACGAACCGATTTTACGCTCGTGGCAATCTACTAACGACCCCGGGGGGAATGGGGTGCTAGTGGGAAGAAGAACGAAAAAAAAGCCACAAGCCGGCACCACTTCTTCAGGCTATCGCAGTTATCATCGGACCCGACGGCAGGGACAACTGTTTGCTGCTCTCCGACCAATCCTGCCACGGTCCCACAGTTCTTCAGTCACACAATCACGCCACACAGAAGCAAGCGTATTGTGTTCTATGGACGATCAGCCGACTCTATGATCACTCCAGCTACTTCTGTGGCCGTAACAGTTCTGCGATAGTAATAGTCTATTGATGTCCGTACTACTGCTGGTGTGGCAGCAGCGGTGCTCACTGCTGCACTCGACTCTGTCCGTCTGCAGACAGGGTGTGCCTCCTGCTAGAGTGCTAGCTGTGCGGGTCATCAGCCAGCGTAGGGACGATGTCCGCCACGAGAGGGCGCAACGGATAGTCGTGGCTAGAGTATTAGCGGCAACGGCCGCGGCGGGCTGAATGAAAATATTGACAGTGAAGAAGAGTCTTCACTTTCTAGCACGAGAGTATACGTGAAAAGCAGCTATTGCTGAGATTTTTTGGAAGAAGGGGCTAATTTGAAAGATGTTTCGTTAAAATTGCTCTTTTCAGCTGCAGATTCACGTATGGTCGGAGTAAAGTGGTCATATTGTGACTATATAGAAGTGTGCAGTGCACGTGAGTATAGTACCCGCACCGAAGCATTTGTCTGTCCACTGACACAAAGAGAGAACAGCTGACAGCCGAGAGGAGTTAGGCAACTGCCATGGTATTTATGAGTTAATGCGTTTCATAAGCGTGTATTTCTCTTTCTCTCTCCATATATATATGTGTATATATATATATATATATATATATATATATATATATATATATACAAAATAATTCCTAGATGAACTTAAAACTGGATTTCCCTTTTTCAAAGAACTTATTATTAGAAAGTTATTCGATATCACTGTAGCAAACAGTGTTCGCTAAGAGACATTATTTACGGACCCTTATAAAGGCCAAGATTAACCTATTACTATGATTAGCTGCAAAGATAACCGTATTAAGAATCCTGCGTGGTTTGCTATTTTATATTTTGGTAGCGAACACTGTTTCCATACAATATATTCGATTTTGCCCGCCTTGTTCTGCTTATCCTCTTCGATATGCATGGTAAACGCTGATCACCATCATCATCTATCATTTAACACATACAACGTAACTACGCGAGCGTAGCAGGCAATTCCGTGCCACTGCTGGTGTACTAGTATCGTGTTTGTCTCTTAAATTTCGGGTCACATTAAACGGTGTAAATTTGCAACCGGGTGAACCCCACACGTCGTTTCGTGTTGGGATCCCGCCGTCTGAAACAATGCTTAATGGTAGCACCCATTGTAAAATAAAACACATTGCTCATCGTCTGTACCTTTATTTACGTTTTCTACTGTAATCGATCTGGCAGACGATGGCATTTAGTTGAACACTGGATAGATAGACAAACAGACAAGGCCGGCATGTTTACTGACGTTTCTTTGCTGGTCTTCGTCTGCTACAATCGCTCGACGGACGACGAAGCCAGGCACCCGCGAGCAGCGACACTACGAGTCAGTATCATCTTCTGCACAGGACTCGTAGTGGTTGTAGCAACTAGCATAAGTAAGTTGGTGGTTAGCCAACCGCCTGCAGTGGCCGTGTGTCCGACGGACAGTTAAAAGCTCGTAGCGAGAGGTATTGTAGAATGCTATAACTTAAAGTCCGCCTTTACATTTCTATCGGAGTGAATGACGCAAACGATGCTGTCATCATATATCTGTATAAATAGATAATAGCTATTATTATTATCATCATCAGATGGTAATTACAGTATAACTAGAAAATTTGATTTTGCCGCTAATACATATGCTTCTCGTGCATAGGTTTTTTGAGTGTTGTATTTTATTTGCTCAGTATGCACCTGCTTGAAGTTGATTTGCATCCATTTTGTATCTTCTTGGTCTGCACTTGTAAAAAAACATTTAGTGAAGAATTAAAAGCAAAACTGAAATAATTAAAAGTCTAACTTCTAACGTATTTTTTAGTATGAAGTAGAATGCTAGAATATGCAGTGTTCATCGCAGTTACTTTTTAGGTTAGATCATTTTACCGCCATAACGGTGTATCTCACTAAATTTCCGTGACGCATACTGGTGCACTTACATGTTAACGCCCAGTAAAGCTAAATATTGTTGTAACAACTGGTTGTCTAAGTTAATTACCATTTACTAATTATTATTGGTGCTTCTGTCTGTCTCTCCTTGTTTCAGTCTCGACACAGGACTGCTAATTTAAACGTCACGGACAACGCTAACGATATTTTTGCTGGTTGCTACGGCAAGCGGCATTAGTAAAACGACAGATGTGATACCGGCCGGCAATACAGGCGATTTCCAAATGTAGTCAAGTCAGTGTGGGGGTTCTATCAGCACTATCTAGAGCTGCCAGTGTCTTAACTCGCTCTATAATTGCTAGTATTGTTATTCCACGGAAGAAAGGGCTCTGCGTCGTTGCGTTAGTGCTTATGCGTGACAAACTGGCTTGTAGTGACAGTGTGAACTTCTGCTGAGCACGCGAAGTTCACTCGTTGGATCAGGAAGGATGGCATGCAAATGGCTAGCGACACTACAGTGTATAGCAACAGTCGGGGTCGTACTTGCCGAAGACAAACTCTTCAAGGGCCAATCTGTAGTGAGCTTAGATAAAGCGGCTTACGAGGCAGGCATCGTTATGGATAAACCCTATTTTGTTAAGTTCTACGCTCCGTGGTGTGGCCACTGTCAACGTTTGGCACCTACCTGGGAACAGCTGGCTGACAAGTTTGTCGACAAAGATAAGGTGAGCTCGAATTGGACTGCAATGGTGAGCTAACTAAAAAGTCAGGTAGAACCCCTTAGCGACCGTTCTTGAGGCCGTTTTTAGTGTCCATCACTTTTTTATTACCCTACATTTAGCGGATGTGTTGATGCGCTTAAGGTTGAAAACTGGAAAAAAAAACTCTATTTCATATGACATTTGTATTGTCGTGATTTCCGATGTCTCGTATGCTGGTGTAAAAACGGCCTCACGAACCTAATACAGGTTCGTCCCGCACTGGTGATAAGGTACCAAAATGTTGAAGAACTTCAAATACGTTTTTTTTTCAACATTTTTTAGTTAAAATAACTATGTGGGAATACTTTGATTTTGTACTAACATTATACGTATTGTGTGCATACTCAGCCGCAGGTCATTAAATCGAAATGTTCTGCCTTGTTTGCTTATTTACGGTAGTGACACCCCTTGGCTTTGCACAAATACCTGATCGTTTATTATACATAACATGAGAAGAAGGATCTCGTTCTATTCTAATTGTTTAGCTTTTTTCATTATAGAAACTTTGTACTTACTGAACTCTAAATTCGAATTTGAAAAATTTCTTTAATAAATTACTGTTTGACAAGTAATACTTAGCTGCGTATCCCTATTTTCGTATATAATGAAAGTATATTTCCTATTTTCGTAATAATGTGCACCCAGCAAAGCAATATTACTAGAATTATTAACGCACGCCTATTAAGTGCTATTTTATCGTTGGTTCCTATATTTCAGTCTTCTTGAATTCTCTATATAATTGGAATGACTTTATTCAGATTTGTCAAAACATAAATTGTATGGTGCCGCGGCCCTGGTTTGACGATTGAACTACCGTACAAGTAGCGTTTTTCAAGTTTCGTAAATGTGATTATTTTTGTAGTATGTTGAACTTCCGTCTTGTATTCAGCGCAGTTTTAACGTCGGTCGTTTTTAACTTATTTTGATTATTTTTGACTTACTGAGCGAGCTGGCGAGCTCGAAACTTTACCCCGATCGATTATGAAGGGTACTATCTATTACTTCGATCGTGAGTTGGTCTGTAGTTCCTTTAAGAGGATCATGGATCTGATTTTATCGGGTCTATATTTAGTTCGTCTCAAAGTCGTAAGCACGAATTCGTAGTCAACACACTATACACATTTGCCGTATGAATAATTATAGTTAGCTGGGTACGATCAGAACTCTCTAGCCCAACACTCATTCTGAGTGCAACGCCAGCACCTTCGATTTAAACAAAGCGTTCCGCATAACTTAGTAAGTTTGATAATTGCTTTGAACCACTTTGAAAAAAATAATTGTTAGTAAAGTCTCAAGCGTCTAAGTAAAAACGATCGGCTTTAACATAACCGTGTTTAAAATCAGAGGTAAGGGCAAAAATCGGTTACCATCGATAGAGGAACGAAGTGGTTCTCCAATGACATGTAATACCTGACCATTAGCAAATAAAAAATTTGGATAAACAATAATAGACATTAGTTATATTTTGTTTTAAAATGTATCTGCTAAAACAAATTTTATTAAAGTAATATTCTATTTTTCAAAATATTTTGGTCGTGTAATGGCTTACCGCCATGACTACATATAGGAATTGTATTACAAACATTTTAGGAATTTTTGTGGAGACAGGCGGCCATAGTTAAGCAGGCTTGATCTGATTCACCCAATTGAAAGGTGCAGCCCGTCAGATTGGTCGTTTTGTCGCTTTTCGCGTTCTTAAGTTTTAAGACGTGCTTCGCCCATTCTCTTATATACGCATATAACAGGTGTTACCTTCGGGGGAAAAATAAACTGTGGTGTAAGGAGACCGCTGCCGGCCGTCTCGATCGATCTGACGCAAGCAGTGTCCTTGTCGCTGACCTTTTCGTGCCATGTCATTACAACAGCAATTAGTCTGTTGAATGCGAGTTCTCAGGGAGCAGCAGTTGCCAATTCAAGTTCTACATTATGTAATATAAGAAGACCTTACACAGACATACATTCGTTTGTTACCTATTCTTAACTGTTTTCTGGGATGCTTTACCTATAGGATTATTAATGGTATCGTAGTATCGCACAGCGTTTGCAGCGGTCGACGTTCGGCGACAACTGGCATTATAAATCATGCAGTGTACATGATAAAAATAATAAATTTTCTTTATCTGAAGAGGAAATCTAACAAAAAATTCAAAATATTATATAAACGAGCATACTTCGCAAGCAGATAAACGATCCGTTAACTCGCTTTAATCAAAGTATTAGGCTGCCGTTTCAGTAAAGTAAAACAAAATATAATATATATATAATAATATGATATAATAAAATATAATATATATATATATATAATATAATATATATGTTTCATAATAATGATTGATTTGTGGCTGACGCTTTATAAACAGATGACAGAATCATATACTGGCTAGCGTTATGTACCTTTTTCCCCAGGCATGCTTTGTTGATCGCCTGTGTAATTCGGAGTCAGGTTTTTTGGTAGACTGTGTTACGCATACGATGAAACCTCAAATAAGCATGGAACGTGCATACAGGACTCACTTTCGATTGGAGATAGATTATCTTTTTCTTTTTTTATCTAAACCTGCGTTTGGATTTTAGGTAATCATTGCAAAAGTCGATTGTACCGAAGAGCCCGAAATCTGTACTGACCATGAGATCCAGGGGTACCCAACATTGAAGTTCTTCAAGGTACGTAACATCATAGTAAGTCGATTAGGTATTAATCATAAATAAGCAGTTGCCGCAAACTCTTATTTTTCTTCGTCATATCCTCTGTTTGAAGTTATTAATTAAGTCCAGGCATAGAAATACGTATGCTAGCCAGAAAAATGTAATATGTTTGACGCTTACTACTACTACTAATTTCCACAGGCTGGCCAGAAAAAGAATGGTGAAAAGTACCGCGGCTCCCGGGAGTTGGAGGCTCTTTCATCGTGGGTACTCGAGAAAATTGGCTCAAAGAAGCCTGAAAAACAGCCAGTTGAAGGTAAGTAGTGTTATGCACATTTGTTTGTTCTTCGAAATAATTAAGTGTATATAGCAAAATTATTTTGGATAGTGTTCACCTTTTGTTTGTTTTTTGTACTCATATCCAAGTTAAATAGACGAATACGTTGGTTTAACTAGCTATACACAATGCGATTACGACAGAGAGGCATTCAATAGTAGTTCTGAGTAGGTATTCAGAAATTTTTATGCGGTGTTTACTTGCTTCGATGTCGTAGACAACCTTGATTGAAGCATAGGATGAATGTATTTGAATATAGTCATACGAAAATCAACAAAATCCTACACAACGTCAACTTACCTTGCTCACACAATATACACAATATATACACAATATACAAGTTCTGCTATGTAGACCCAGAACTAAGTTTCGCACACAATGCCTTTTATATATTGCTCCTATTAGAGACGCTCTTTTTAGGTGTACGGTAAGGAAAAAAATCGGTGGAGGATTAGCACTAGACAAATGCAGCTTTCTTTTAAGAGTGATAAACTTCATTCCTTTCACCTTCTGTTCACCTTCAGGGCTGGTTGAATTGACCGATGCTACGTTTGATGCGCATATTGCCAGCGGGAAGCATTTCGTAAAATTCTTTGCGCCATGGTGCGGTCACTGCCGAAACCTCGCTCCGACGTGGGAAAAGCTGGCCGAGAAATATGCCTCCTCGAAGGACGTCACTGTCGGCAAAGTCGATTGTACTGTGCATGTTGACCTGTGCAAGCGCTTTGAGGTGCGCGGCTATCCTACGCTGCTGTTCTTGCAAAATGCTGGCAAAGCGGTCGAAAAGTACCAGGGATCAAGGACTTTAGATGACCTATCTAACTTTGTCGACAAAATGGTCAAGGTACATGATGTGCCATTAATATGCGAGTACGATATCTAAATCTTCGACATATTATGACCTACTTGAGGTTTGGTTATTGATACAATGCATTGAAATTAATGATAAAAAAGCAATGTTTCCTTACAGTGTTGTTTAAAAAATTAAAAGACCATACATGTTTACAGTCTTTTAGTTTTTTTTATTTGTCCTTAATTATATTATTAATTTGGTCGTACATTTAGTCCACAATGAATAGCTATGATCTACAATACTTGGGTCCAAATACTTAACGTACTGATGATACTGTAATGGGAAGGTTATTGAACTTTATAAATTTAGCGTAAACTGACTTGTATTAGCACTCAAAAATCGTGCTAATACAAGTCAGTTTCAAAAAAATCGTGATACTTCAAAGTTTAACTGCCAAAACGAAGACCATTTGCAAGCGCATAGTTGCAAGTGCTTTAAAGCGCAGGAGGACATTTGTCCAGGATTAAATTTATTTTTTCAGTTAATCCATTCGTCTACCCACAATTTTTCAGGAGGATCCGAAGAAAGCTGTCCCGACTGAGTCCGCTCCCCTTTTACTTACGGAGGATACCTTCGACTCGGAGATTAGCGCCGGTGTTACCTTTGTCAAATTTTTCGCTCCGTGGTGCGGACATTGCCGAAATCTTGCTCCTGTTTGGACGGATCTTGCGCGTAAAGTCGACAATGCCAAAATAGCTAAAGTGGATTGCACGCAGCACGACAACCTTTGCACAAACAATGAGGTAGCAAAGCTGTCGCGTGAAACACGACGTAATATCTCTGTGTACTATGATTTCGTTCGTGAATCCAGTTCTTGTATAGTTCTCTACACTCGTTTAAGATGACGAAATACGGAAGCTTGTTTGTATTATTGTATTGAATGTTGCGAAGTAACTATTTGAGTAAAGTCATCTTCTGAAAACCTATAATGGCGTCCGACCACCTTTTTTTTTTTGGTAATATCTTTTTGCGTACCTATTTCGTTCGGTTGAATATACATACATTTCATCCCACTTGACTTAGTTTTATTTTAAATATGGTGTCGGTTACATTAGTCGGTGCCTAAGGCCTGTTACAAAAGAGATGGCAATAAGCGTCACTAAATTTTCCTATTTTTACGAATTTTGGTAAAAGTAAATGATTCACAATCCAGTGATTGGAGGGTGTATTTAAATATTCATATTGTCAATGGAGCGCACACTTTGCTGATTCAAACACATGTTCAGCTAGCCTTCATGTAACTCCTCCGTGAATCCTTACGAAAACACTCCATTTCTAACTCCATATAAAATTTTAAAAAAAAATGGCTCTCAAATACAAACGCGTTCACCGGAATTGGGCCCTAACTTAGATTTTACAGAAAAATACACTTCCCTTGGGTCGTATAACTCGGAACACATGAAACACGCAAGCAGTCCTACTAACGAAAACAATTAAACAATATTTGAATATTTGGACATCTCGTGTTCAAAAATTATTCTAACGCTGACCACATGAAGTGTTTGAAAGTTTTGAAACAATTACTAAAGGTTACGTTTATGTTTGCTTTCGAAACACGCAGGTGCAGGGCTATCCGTCTTTGATTATTTTCAAAGACGGCAAACGAGTGGAAGAATACAGTGGCTCGAGAGACATTGATGATCTGAAGGACTTCGTGGATCGGCACGCTAAAGATTCAAGCAAAGATGAGCTGTAAGAGTTCGTTAACTATCTGTTTAGTTGATCTAGATTTTAACTAGATTGGTCCAAAAGAATATCACGAGATTAAGAAGATTGAAAATGTTGGTCATAGGCATTATCGAGGAGCGGGTAAACAATTTTCTTCTATTGTTTTCGTCGGATGAAGTCCTCGATCAGTGCAACTCTTTCAGCTGGTCAAAATGTTTCGTTTGTTTCATTCATAACAAACAACCCATAGCGTGCTAGTAACGTTCAACAGTGTTTTCTAAACGCGCTTTTTTCATTCATATAAGTAGCGCGCATTTCCCTCTACCAGCGTCGCCAGTGCTAATATGGTGATGCTATCCCTATTCTACTAATTCAATTTTTCGTTTTCATATCTCCATGTGTGACGTGATAGGCAGCAAACAAAGTATATACATATGTAATACAAGCCGATCTCTGTCATCTCTCTAGTTGATAAATGGTTGTATGTAAAAAGCGTACGTCCTCTTGACCTGGGCTGGCCTACGTCGATTTTGCGACCATAGCGATTGATTGACTTGTGTATGTGTAGATAATTCATAAGTTAGAGTCGATCGGTTGGGGTAATCTAACATGACAGTAACGACACTGCTTGCGTTATTGACAAATTAAAATAGCAAAATTAAATAGTTCTTTTTGCTATAGCTATTGCGTGGTTTATACGCATAGAAGCCATCACGTGATTCCTTCCTGTACGTTTCCCGCTGTACTCGTTAATCATTAGCGTCATTCATTAGCCTGAGAATCACAAAGGAATCCATAGTATAAGATTAAAAAGGCGTGGCCCCATTGAGTTTACGTGACGAAACTGGGAGCGACTGTAGTCAGAATATACCATCGAAATATTGTGTACCGACAATAATGGCCAACTTAACTAAATTTACTTGCTTAAAATGAATCAATGATAATTCGCATCTTGACTATACCCGTATACAACGATCAACAGCACCGTGCTACACGCATCAGAGAAAATATTTTGTTGCTTTTACCTACGGATACATTACCGTTGAACGGAGCGCATTTTTACTACTATTGTCGTTTTGAAGGTCGCGCCCTTTGCGTGTACTTAGCTCAATCACTTTATAATATGTCAATATAGTATAGATAATATTATATGCTTCGAACGTAATCTTTGTAGGTAAGTGGTGTGGTTTTTTCGCCGTGTGCACGTGCGGAATTTCCTGTGATGTTATTATTTGCGATGTTTTCTGTCATACATTTCAATAGAAATAAGTTCGTGTATAGTGGTTTTAAATAATGAATACTAATCATGTTGATATTTCATACAGTTTTTGTGCATTTATGAACACATCCAAAGCTGATATTTATCAATTTTAACAGAATGCAAACGGAACGGTAGCTTATTGGATTAAAAGCTAAAAGTTGTAAAGGTTCAAGCGGAATTAAATAAAATTTGAAATAAAAAAAACCCTTATACTTGGAGAGGTCTTTCTACCTATCTGTTCATCAGATCAATATATAACGATAGATGATCGACGATCCAAATGCTTCTACCGATAAAGTGCGTCAGTCACATTATATGCCAGAGCCAGGAAAACAAAGAAGCTTATGACAGATGCGTTATCCTATGTACCCTTGTACTCATCCTTAATGTAGTAAATTGTGCCAATGAACATGATCGTCTTTCGCATTAGAGAAAGCCTCGCACAACCAATTTCTGCTATCGTGTACTCGATGATGTCAATAGTCGAATAATGATCCAAATTAAAATAGTAATAACTGAACGATTTGTCATAATTGGATGAAAGTTTGTCGAAGTTTACTACTACTACTACAGTGTATTTCATACATGATATGTTGTGGAATTTGACTACGACTGAGCAGAGCCACATCGTACCGCTAAGGAATGAAGGCGAACCTTTTCACGTAAACGTATATACCTAATACACACAATACATAAACAAATATAAAGGATACCATAATATGCATCTCATCAAATAAAGACTTTGTGTTAAACTTATTGCTAAGTCACTGCATCAGTCATTCTGCTCCATTCCAACGCGAACTGTGATAGGCACAATATATCACAGCATTAATTAACGTTTTTGAAATTCTCACGAGAAATAATTCAATACAATGAAAAAAAGTAGAAACCGAACGCTTTTTTTTTTCCTTTCGAAGGCATCGAGCTGAGCTATAACTTAGTTATGCTAATGTGGCGCTGTTTACGCTTGTATCTGAGTTCTTAAACTAAGTCTTAGCAAGCGCTTTTTACTCTAACTGGCTCGCGATGAATCTATAAATTCATTAGATTGCTTTTTGTCGCGGTGAAGCACTGTCAGTTAATTAACGGTTATGCCTCGGACACGTCGCAATTATGCAAATATCTCTGATTTGCTGTAAGTTCTTTTTTGAGTTTGGTAATCTGTGTCGCGTACCTCTGGCTACCGATCACAAATGATAGGATAAGCATTGTATAAAGGTGGCACCTTTCATTTTTCTTTTGAATTACCGTAAGCCTCTTTTCCATCTTTATTAGTTCCTCGGTTTCGCATTTTCTGTACGAAGAGTTTTACCCCTCGTAAGCAATGTGGATGCACGTGGTCCAATTGACAGCTCGCAGATAAGCCGCTAATCGTTCGTAAGCGGCCTAAAACGGTGTAATTGCCATCACTATGTTATTCTATGGTACGACTCGATCGATAAATGCGTGTTTTTATAGCCTGGTGTCTTCAACTGATTATAATAAAACGGTCCAATGGAAGGGAACCTAGATGGCCCTATAGTGGGACGTTACTCCTGAGCATTGAGAGGGTTATCAAGCAAACTCGTTAAAATAGTTGTCTAAAGTCAGCGTGCTTTAATCGATCACTTCTGCCGGTGAGAGTTGTTCATACCTACCGCAATATCACCTATAACAGTCATGCCGTTTACTTTTTATTTTCGGTAGACATTCTCCGCAAGCGTCAGCACGCGTTTCATTTGTTGTTATCCTGCTACTGTTGGCATTTCGGCAGCGTTGCTGCCGAAGGCAGCGATAAAGATATTTATGCAAAAGCTGCTAATCAATCGAGAGCCTACCGCCTACATCGTATGGCTCACAATATATATGTATAGATAGATGTGTGTATTTAAGTTACAAAACTCATGTATGTTGCGAGATCTCCTTGGCGAGGTGGTGCGATCCGTACCCAACTCCACCTTGCTTCATCACAGAGCTGACGGTGCGAGCTTGCGGCCAAATGAACCCTTCACTGTATCTCTTTTTCGTTGTCGTATACATGCCTGGACAAACCGTAGAGCTTTTTAGATATAGATGACGATATTGGTGCAAAACTAAACAATGTTCAGTCAACTCTATACCAGAACATTTTCAGGTTAACTTTCCCGTTTTTGTAGAATTTCATGTCGTGAAAATTATTACATTACTCGTAATGCTTAGCAACATATATTCATGGCTCATGGTGGATCTCAGATATTATATTTTCTGGGCTAGAAAGACTCGCTAATCTCCGCATCGAGTGAGTATGATTATGCTTCCGCATATCAAAGATATTGTGATCAAGAAGATAACGTCTTACTGAAGACTATAGATATGTATACTTTTCTTTAACCTAAGTACGGGTACATTGTTAGTACTCTTCGTAAACAGTCGCGATTATTTACTGCCGATAAACATCGGTTAATTGAACCCTGGTTATTGCCATGTGGAAATATCACTAAGTGAAGAACCTGGTTTAAGTAATCACCAACAATGGCACTGAACAAACCTATCTGTTTCTGACCTCCGTGCAATAAGGGTAGTAATAAGGGTAACCTTAACTGCGTTGCTTCTAACTTCTTGTCACACTTTTATCATATTTGTTTCATCATCTGTCTCTCTTGGATATAAAAAAATTAGTTTTACTGCTATCATTCTAAAACAATTCAAAATCATAACGAACTTCACAAGATTCAGATAATCCATTTCTCGATTTGTAATTAAGTTCGCGCCCTTTTTCTGTGAAACTTATTACCATAAGATACGTCTTATTACTCTTTTTGTAGAGCGGTCGTGAATTATTACGTCGCTATTCCGTGTAGAATTCTATTTAATATCATCAGATTATTGGAAAGCTTCAGATTGCCCAGTGCTAAAGCAGTTGCATATACTGCGAGATGTCCAACATCTGTTTAGCTGAAATCTCAGTAAAAACGTTCATGACGTATGCTAAATGAAAAAAGTGATTAAATAAAGAAACAATAAGATTATCTAAATGCTAAGGCTGGCTTTCCTTTCAAGCCTCTGTTAGTGGATGTTCTTTGCATTGGCCATACCTTGTGAAAGATCTAAAGCAAGCAGACTTGAAAGAAAAACTCATATTATTTTATTAGCTTTTTGCAGCTAACCTTAAAAGTAATGGCAGTTCTTGTCATTCATCGAGTTTTCCTTACTTGTCAACAATGTTTCTCTATTTTCCGATAGAAATTTCAGCGGCATGGCGCGATTGTCTGATGTGCAGCTCCCTCGGTTCGTTGTCACGGTAACCATCAATATGCGACCATCGCTGGTTCGGATTTCAACGTTAGCAATCGTTATTAATGCACATTTCAGAGGTGAAGGAGAAAAGTCAAGTTAAGTTCACCAAGACCCACAGATTGTATAGCTAACGATTAGTGGAAAGAAACATGGTTGATCATATTTCACGTCGGGGCTGATATTTCGTAACGTAAAACCTGCCTGTCACAAGTTTCTATTAGAGACTGAAGTGGGTCCAGTTTTATCATGGCCTTTTCCTGGTTGCCCTCTTGGCTCAAATCCGGGATGATTTAATATAGAGGGAATAGAAAGTAATAGAAACTAAGCCCCGGATCAAAATCCTTTACTTTCCTTTGTAAGTGGTGATTTGACGCAGTAGCACAGTGCTGTGTTGTTGTCTGCACTGTCTATTCCAGAGCCTGTAATAACGCAGTGGTAATTTTTTTCTATTTGCTTCGCGCGGGTTTTCTCATCTGACCACCAGATGGCGCCACCAATCCCAGACACACCCACTGCGTTCATGCTTTGATTGTGTATCGAAGTGCCTATTTCGTTTGTTTTGTAAGAGACAAACGCGGTTATAAGCTAGGTGAAACCGTGCCTGTAAGGAAGAATGTTCCTTGTTTAGCAGTGCGGTTATCGTGTCAACAATCATGACTGCTCTCTGTTCTCGTCATCGAATTCGTTCATCGTTGTTGCGAGCGTTTTCCGTAGCCGGCCAGTTGGCTAATTAGTTCTCTACCCAACAAAGATCAGAACGTCAGTGGGTGAGCACATCTGCAACAAAGTTAACTCGGAATAAGAGCAGAAGTTGCAGCATTTTTTTGTGTGGCAAAACAGAGCTAACCGAAGAACAAGTTCGCGCAGCTGCATCATCGCCTCTGTCCAACCAAAATAAACCTACACTTCAACAGTAGATCTGTACTACTAATATTAGTAATACAGGTTTCTCTTGGCTAGTCAGATCTTTTTTCAGCGACTTGACAAACCCGCCAAAACACAAGGGTGCCCCTCTCTGATCAACTTCGTAGGTTTTCCTGAACAGCTGTAAATTGCGCGGCGCGTTCAGATTTGGCATAGTTTGGCATTGACCGGATACGAACTCCGCGCCACCTTCGAGCGCCAAGCAGCGTCTGCACTCTCTGTCCAGCAACGATCATCAGCTGTGAGATAGAGAAAGGGATAAATTCGACGGTCTAAAGCGAGCCATGCTGTACCGTACTCTCAGTCGTATTCGTGGTGGGAGCGAAAGATTGTCGTGTCTACCCTCCAACCTGAACTGGCAGAGGTAGTAGCAGTTCTAGGGGAAGTGGGGAAAAGAGGGGTGAGGGAGAGGTTTGGTTGGTTCGTGTCTGGATTTGTTCCCTTCGTATATCTAGCTCTGAGGGGGAATATTGTCGTGTGCAGCGCCTCTAGCTGGAGTAGTGGAAGAACGACGCACACGGCTTCAAAACAGTAGCAACGACGACTCCGATTCCATTAGTGTGGAGTTAACTCGCCCAGCTTACAGCGGGTGGTGTAGGTGAGCTAAGTGCTAAGAAGTGCAAAACGACAGTAAACGAACGATGCTGCGCTACTGTATACAGAAGTAGAGCAGCAGTCGCCACTGCCGGCAACTCGCGTCGATAGTCAGCGAGCGCCGGTGAAAAACAAAGCGCACACACATATACACCCAGTTCTCGGACAGACAAAGCAGACTCCAGGCTACAACTAGTATTTCCCAGTTGACACCTCTCTTCGAAGTCCAACACAAATCCACTGTTGTTTTATGTTGCGGTCTGCATCACTCGCCTGTGTGGCCAGATTCGTTTGGTCAATTGGCATCGCTGATGCTGCTGAAATAGTAGTTCAATTAATCGAAGCCAGCTTCTCGTGGTTCACCCCATAGTAGCAGGATGGCCTGACGAATAGAAAGTCCATGGAGCCTTGTGTGTGTTCTCCCAACCGCGAAAGCTATATTAATATTATCGTAGTCACAATAGAGTAATATAATATTAATAGAGTCAGCAAAAAAATATAAAGCTGTTACACTAAATAATCAAAGTACATTCGGACAACCCTGTGACAGAGGTGCTAATGTTGTATATCCGATTTCGCGATAAATACGCGAAGTTCAGGTAAGCTTGCTTAAGCAATAGAAAAAAAGGAAAAGTTTTTGTAGCAGAGTAAACGAGATCGCAGGAAGTGCTTTAGATTGCTCAAAACTTTCAGCGTATCGTCTATTGGATGGTTGAAAATTTTCGAAAAACGCCTGTTCAGTGAGTCAGCGTTATGTTACGTTGCTGCTAATGCTGCTGTTACGTCGCGTAGTGACGATCGTGCTCTCGTGTAAAGATTACCATAAAGTCGTAGAGTGCCGTGCGGAAATATGTAAAGTGGCAAGCAACGTTACGGACCGCACAATTGGACGTGTCGTGTAGAACAAAAGTAGTCCTACAGACTTCGTTGGAAAGGGGCCCTGGACTAATTCGAGCTATTACACAAAGGAGATCCACTGGAACATATTGGGCATGCGTTGTGTTCAATTTGTTAACACAAAACGGTCAGACGTAACGGGAGCGGAGAGAGGTAGACGAAGCAATACCTGCCGATTTCGACCTTGCCAACCATCGTCGTATGTGTATATATTACACCTATAAAGAACCGAAAATCAGCCGACTGCAGAAGGTCGAAACGTAAGCCGAGATAGAAGAGGAGCCCCCCTACCAATCATGTCAAAACTACTTAAGCATTTCAAGATTGGCAAAAAAGCAAACAGCCCCGTCAATCATGTTGACTATCAGTATATGGGGTTCGGTAAGTATTGTACCTTATAGATATAAATCATACTCGAAACCAACAATGGGTCATGTGCAAAAATTAGATTGAATCCCAACCATAATCAAGAGGCATGTAGAAACAGCAAAGATAAAAATTCAATTATGTATATTTTTTGTTAAAAAGTAAGTTAGAAATGAGTGTGCCTAACAGCACCAAAATGCGCAGAGTGCATAAAGTAGTTGCCTCTCATTTCTGAATCAATCTCCCTACACATAATAGTTCGTAGTAGTATTTAGTTCTGTTCTGAGCGAATATTATGTAAAACGCCGTAAAAAATATATTTTCTTTTTTAATTTTATAGATGATTGTATGAAATTATTCGATGTACCAGAGCTTGTCGTCGCACATTGGCGCCTACTAGCTACTGTATATAGATATAATATAGCATGGGCTATGGCGACACTGGCTAACTACAATAGAGCCTCGTAAAACGGTAGTCAGTCTGTTAAATAGCAATATAGCCGTAGATGCGTTGGGTAGAATAAACTGATATTTTTTATATGTATGGGACAGTTGACCTGAACCATCCGATATAGCGATCAAACATTTTTCTCGTCAAAGACTTGCCTTATGACGCGTGAACAGCGGCCCTATTGCCTGTAGGAACTCTCGATCGCATGCCAATGACATAAGTTAGAAGCTATACCTTTGTTTTGCTGGCACCCTACGCACCATTAGATTGCTTAGTCGTCAATCGGGAATCAACATTACCATAGGAATGTACTTGCCAACTGTAACTCAGGCCACCCCAGAAAAAGCCTAATATTGTTAACGTGGATTTTTAGCAGTACTTGACAATAGCTGCCACGTCATACAATATAGACGTTATAGAGCTAATCAAAACAGAGCCGGCTGGACACAATCGAACTCGTAGCATGGAAAACGTCTAGTTATCATTCAGGTAAATTGTATAAACAGACGTCCGTATTTCACTCCAGCAACACATGTTGATTTGCAAGATGGCCCAAATTAAAATATCTGATAATAGTTCAGCGCGGTCCGTTTTGTGGGCTATATCATTTCTTCTCTCCTTATTTTATCTCTATTTTGTAAATAAAAACGAAATGTGTTTTTTTTAAAAACTTGGGAAAAATACAGTTGATTAAAAGAGCTTTTTATCTACTTGAGGATTTCTTGAATACGTGTAATGGAACTTGCGTGTCAGGTCACGATAAATGGAATAGAACGTCGTTGTGAACCGAAATATATAGCTGGCGTGTACGCTACAATCAAGCTAACTACAGCATTTTCGAAAGTGCCGAGTGGCAACCTATTGCAGATTCAGTCATAAAATTTGAATCGTTCTGATCATTGCCTTTAATAGGCCTATGGCGTGTGTCTAATCAAAACGCGTAAGCACACATGCATACATGGGTGGGCATATTGGCAAAATGGTTGCGAAGAGATTACCAAAGATCCTCGGTAATAGCTGCTCCCTAGTACGGCCAGTGATACTGAGCGCAGGTGGTGAGTTTAGATTTAGCGATCAGCGACTGGAAGCAGCCTGAAACCTCATAAAAATGCTTTCGTTTCCCGAAATGCTGAGGGAACTGGAGTTGACCTCGTTTGCGTACGGCGAAATTTTTGCAATGAGCCTGACGGCTCTATTACTCGATGGGGCTCGGTGTCATTCGTCGATCTACAGCATCATTGTACCTAAGTTACGATAGTTATGCCTTGACCGTAGACCTACTGCTACCGCTATCGATGAACTCTGACTCTGATTTTAATATTACTACACCGGGTACGAAACGATCAAATGTAAGTCGTAATCGAGCGTTACTGCAAGATGCGCGGACAAAACAGCGATATCTGCCATCCCCATAGGAATTGCGTATCGGGCGGTAGCATTAAGCCAAAAGTCAAGATAACGCATAGATGACTCATTGTTTAATGAAGTTAAATGAAAAACGCGGTGAGTAAAATAATCTGGTTATGATTATTTCGGGGACGTTCGTGGAACTTTTGGAGCGAATTTGGAAGAAGCGGGATGGCGGCGCGTGTAACAATCAAATCCGGTAGTTATCTTATTAGGATTGACCTCCTATGACCTGAGCGTCTTTTATCACTATGGCAACGGCGCACTATACTGGCAAACATTTGTTAAGATGATTAGCGATAAGGTAGTAGTATAAGATGATAGTAACTAATAATGAATATTGGGATTGAGTAATTGTTAACACTTAACCTCTTATGTGATAGGGAATGGTACTACACCAATATCCGGCACTCTCCCTTCTTGTACACATCTTTGCCATGCCACTGCCATACGTAATGCGTACTTTATATTTGTATCGAGCTTTATCCAGCACACATGCACCTTAGTTGGTTATAGGTCCTATACAAAAAAAAAGTAATTATATGTATACATTTAATATACCATTATGTTCTCAAAATTAATTTTGCATTAAACGCATACTGTCATTTATATACGTGCAGTATAAATGGGCACCTTCTTAATCGTACACTATTAATCCATACTTTTGTCCCATACTATCGACAGGTTCAGTCATGTGCTTTGCAAATTATTTCTAAAGTACGGGGATCATACTTGTGTTATTTTTCAAAATCAAACTTAAACTTAATTCGGTACAAACCTGAATCCAGAGTGCGGATTGGCTGTCGGTATTTAATTGCTCAGTCACGTAGCTACAGTTATACTTGCTGTTTTTTTGCCACCCCATCCTCTTCCAAATATGGTAATGCATTGCCCGAACTGTGCCGGTACCGTTGACCCATTATCCTATTTTTTATATCGATCACATTTCTTAGGTTCGATCCTCAGTCATATTGATTTAAATCTTCAACGACCATATGAGTTTAATCAATGTTAACAATCTACAGCCCGTGTATACGTTATAGTGTTTCGATGGTGATATATTATCTAATATGCAATTGAGAACGGTGCTAGCCTCCATCTAGATAATACCGCGTGTTGATCGTATTTATATAGAAACATCATATGTGTGCAAAAAACAAAGTATAGTCTAAACGGTGTTCCAGTTTTCGTTACTACGATTAGGCATGTTCATCTTTTCAGCCACTCCTTGACGACATCTTCCCTTCGATGCGCGTACCCTTCGATCCATTCGTATACTCATGTCTTATTGTTCTGAAAACCCGGACCACCATTCATGGTAGCTTCTATTTTTGAGTTTACCATCTTCTCATCCGGTTTCAAAAACCGCTACAAATTAATAGTGGCATAGTTTGTCAAAACTTTTTTACCGTGATCCAAAAAGTTTATTCCCTTATCATTTTCAGTTGTTTTTCGTGTTTCGATTATTACTGTTGAGTAATCTTTCATATCCAGTGCACATAATGTAAGCGATCTCGTATAATAGTCAAGCTGGTTTCTTGCTAGATTGTTAACGATTGACGTCTGTGTGCGCGTGCGTACCTGACTATCTGTCAGTGTCAAAATGGCCTAGATCACCAAAAAGTTGTACTATTGCAGCGGCTGCATCCGCAACAGCAGATTCCGAAGTGGCAGATGGTGTCTATGCCAGATTTTGATCCTTCTTCTGCACGACAACGGGCAACGGCGACGAGCAGCACGTCCTGTCGTCAGATGCTGGTAGCGGGGCTAGTGCTAGACTAACTGAGCAGTCTCTGCTCCGCCTCGGCGATACAACCGTACCCCAGCACAACGACGAAGTGTTCGTCTCTCACTTCGTCTCACTCTGTTTAAAACGTCTTCACATAGCGGCAGAAGTCGCAGTAGTAGCAACAACAACAGAAAGTACAGCAAGTGCCAGCGGCTAGAATCAGTCAGCGCCCGATAACAACGAGGGTACCAGCAGCAGCGGCTGTCTACTACTACTACTACTACTGCTGCTGTTGCTGCTGCGACTCGTGCTGCAAACCTCGCGCGAGCACCATGAAAAGGAAAAATCTGCCGAACGAAATTCGCTGCCATCGTTATGTTGTGACCGTTGAGGTTTTTCGAAGTCTTCGCCTTTGCACCACTGAAATTGCTGCTCGTGATGCTTTTGCTCTTGCTGCTGTGGGCAGAAAGGATACAGATTCAACCGAAAGGACTGGGCCGAACTTCTTCGCTTCGAATTCGACACTCCTTAATCTAGTCTAGCTTGGCCCAGCCTTGTCTGTTAGGGCGTTGTGTTGATTCATTCATTTGTCTCGGCTGACCAGCCAGCGCTTCAGAACAGCTTCACTATATATTTGAAAACTCTCGATAACTCGTAGTTCTTGTTTTCTGGGGGCAGCCGAGTGCTACTGATGGGAACACGTCGTGCTTAGTTAGCATGCGGTGTATCCTAAGGACGCACGACCACGGTAATATAATAGGTCTATATGCTAAGTCAGTTGAAACAAGGGTACCATTTAGCCTACTCGGGCTATGGGTATAGACCCTTTAAGTTCATGGTAATGAGCACCAGGTGACGTCCGGCGAAAAAGCCAGGTCAAGCAGCAAAAAAAGCGCGTCTCCTAAGACAATCTGTAGAGACTAGGAAGAAGTAACCGGTCATCGAGATTCGATTCAGTGGTTTGTTGAAGTTTATGGAGCACGAGGTTTATTCAATTTTAGCGTGCCTCGTAATATTCTACATAGGAGAACAGTTTACTCTGAATGTTACTTTATCGATCCAACAAATGATAATTTGTTGGATCGATAAAGTAACATTCAGAGTATTGTTCACCCTTCACTTTGTTCTAATGCCGAAACCCAGTTTTTGTATAGGTGAAAAGTATAAAGGTCAATATCGAAAATTTTAGGCCACTTTATTGATCTTAAGAAGCGTACACAAGTTACCATATGTAACGTGTCGAAAGCGTGTCTGCGCGCAGTGACGTCAGCTGGCAGCAGCCGTCACAAAGATGCACACAGGCCTGTGTCTAACAGATCAGACAGCCCGGTCAGGTATGGTCACATGTTTAGCGAAACAGCAACAGTGACTGAAATTCAAAAGGGAACAACGCAGACAACTTTCGCGCATATATTCGTATGGCTGGGTGGGTAAGAATGCCTATTTTTTAACGCTTACGAAACGCCGTCGGAAAATGTCGGAAATTCATTGAGGGAAACGCATCCGCTAATGGCAAAAATAGAAAAGGAGATACGGAAAACCGTTTGACATGTCCACAATACCGCTGTTCTTGCTGCCGTTCTTACTGTTACAGCTAGAGAGGCAGTGTATGGCGAACGGCTCAGGTTGACCTAGCCTAGGCTGACCCCATTTGTGTGTCTCGTGAATAAAGAGGCAGATGTATGCATGCTGTGCGAGGAGCTGTTCAAAGAACTGCAAGACGAAGAGCTTGACCCAAAAAAAACCGACAGAAAGAAACGATAATAACCGTAATTAGAGCTAGATAACTGACTACTGCAAAAAATATCCGACATATACATATGTCGGATATTTTTTGCTTCTTGACTCTATTGTGAAATTTAACCATTTAGTTGAGCATACCATTGCTAGTAACGCTATGGCATCTTTGTGCTGGGTGGCGAGTGGTAAGGCACCCCCTAGTCATAAAAACATAACACATTATAGGTGAGAAGCCAGTATCACTGTTAAATATAGCATGTTTTAGCTATGTTTTTACATCAAAATATTATGCGACAATGGTGTTCAATTAAGGGGTTCTTTAAAAATATGAGGTTGAACTTGGAGCAGGCGCGTGTGGGGGCGCACACTTTTCATTTCTACCCTACGTAAATTCCCCAATCGTTGCTGAGCAAAGCGGCTACAACGTAGCACCAAAATGCATAGAGCTCATGCAGGCATACGTTATTTGTGAGGGGGTGATACGTATATCTACAGTAGAAAGTAGCATTTAAACAACGAGTCTTCTTGTCAAAAAAGGTAGAAAGGTAGTAGTTGTGGTTTTGCGAAGTGCCTTAGTTTGTTAGGTATATTTCGGTGGCTGATTTTTTCTTCGGCTCTATTGAGTCCTTCTCAAGTAAGCCACGAAGTGTATTCGTAAGTATTTTAGCCGCTTCTGCTTCTGCAGTTTAGTTGTTGTCAGACCGGTTTTACGAACAGACATAAGCGTGTCTTTAAGAATGCATGTTATGAGCCAGTGTCGTCTTTCGAATTGTTTACGTCGTTCTGTTGTGCGTTGGCGAACTCTAGGCGATGCACATTGGACGTGGCCTATCTATGCGTCGTCTTCCTGAGGACTTGGCCTTTTTTGTTGTTGTTTCGCCCTAGTAATTCGTTTAGCCTGTACAGCTCTGTTGGAAACCCAACCACGTTAGGATTTATGAATACATATAGGTAATCAAGAAGGAATTCATAAATTTATATTCAGCGAATATATTGCCAGATATTCGTAAGGAAGTAGGTGATCAGTATACTCATTTTAAAATATTAAAATATATATTGTGCATCGTACCTGAGGATTTAAATGAAATTGTCTAGAATCCGGAGCTATCAGTTATCATATAGTAAGTTCTCATATAGGAAGTTCTGTTCCTGGATTATTGTCATATTTTCTACAACAGCAAGCCGGCCTTATACATCATAATCAAGTTTTTAGATATACTCCTAAATTTATGTACAAAATATAAGTTCTTTTTTAATTAGTGAACCTATAGATCATTATGGGTTCCTATTGGAACAAATGCTACAGCTTTGAATGGACCAATTATTGGTTGGTCTGAGTATGTTATGCCTAATGATTCTACTCCAGCTACTCGTAAATATAGATGTATAGATTTAAATGTATAGTATCAGCTGTTGTAATGTATGCTAACTTTTTTACCTATGCTTCTAATACTAAAATTGAATTCTTCGTGGGATCCTTTTTTCAACTTGATATCGGTACCGATCGCAGATTGTGAGGAGTTCATTTCATGGAAGCCATCCATAAAAGTCGTCTAAAATGACCGTTTCCTCCTGTTGATAGTTATGCCACCATTGAGACCTATTCTTGTACTATACCCTGCCGGTAGAAGCAATCTTAGCAGCAGCCCTGGATTTGCCCGTACGTGTCGGACCATAAAGGATATAAACAGGCGATCGAAACTTCGTAGGCCCAACTGGAACCAATAGATTTCGTAGTTCATATAAGCCTCTATGATACGTAGAGGGGTGTAATTTAGCCACATCAGATATGCTTTTTTTTTGTCATGAAGAAGAGAATTAATTGCTCCTTCCAAGTCGCTTCTATGGCCTTGAGATATTGATGTTCCGAATTCTTGAAAGGAACCAGACTTCGAGCAATACTCCATCGAGCAATACGATTTTCTGTTCCACGTGCAGCTTCGAAATGAGAGCAAGCTGGCAATTTAGATTTGACAGAGTTGAAAGTTCGGGTGTACTATACCGAACATACCCTTAGAGGTGAACAGCGCCAGTCGCAGGAGGAGATTCGTAGCCGACAATGAGGTATCCATGGTTTCCGAGTCCAATGAGTCTTTCTATGTTTTCAGTTGTGTAGTTGTTGACTGTAAAGCACCAGCGAGCGTGTCGTGTTGTGATTTGTATTGCTTTTTATACAGCGAAGTGACTGCTTAGTTTTACCAGTCATTTCGCGGCATAACTTCTCAGCATCTTAACAGGGTGCGTGATGGACGGAGCGGCTATATAAGCAGGATCTTTTCAAGTGGTTTATCATTTTATTGCAAGCACCCGTAGCGATAACATCGGCTATTGAGGCAGACCCCCTAGTTTCTATCAAAAATGTTTCTACAGGAAACGCGAGCGTTTTCCTGTGCATGACGGTATTCACAATAGGTTCATGGGTGATTTTTGAGCGGAACTATTTGAGTAGACGGCGCTCGATTCTTTTAGTTGTGATAAAACTTTTAGGTGTGTACAGCAATAACAGAAACAACCAGAACGAAAATTTAACTGGAAAAAAAATGTTACTAAAAATATAGAAGCAGGGCTATCAGCCTGACAGAGTGCTCAAACGAAGTGATACGTGAATAGATGAATGTATAGGACACTAAATTATAAATATTACTTGGGTATGATCGTGCGTTTAGTCGTATTTAGCACCAAATATAACACAAATTGATGACTGCGCGATATAAGACTGCATACTTGGGTAGTTGCTGGCCGTTCGGGCATTATTGAATCATAATGGCTACATAGGGAAAATATAGGTTTATCTGTTGTCTCAAGGAATCAATAAAAGTAAGCGGCGATAGTGTGATGATTTCCGCTAACATAGATAATTAAGCACTAGATAATTAAGCAAAATTTTTTTTTAACAAGATGATTAAGCGTATAGCATAGCCCACTACGACATCAAAAATGGATCAGTGTCTTGTATTGAATACGAACGTGTTCAATATCTAATTTTATCATGAAACGTACAAAAAAAAAATAGAAGTATATACGGAGCATAGTCTGTTTCGACATTGCACTGTTATATTTATATTGGCTGAATTTTTTTAACGCTTTCAGTTGTTAAATGTGCTTTTTAGAGGGCTTCTGTACGATCCGCTCAATTGCAACACATCTTCTGTTATCAAACGCGACGCCATCTTCAACATTATTCAGAGTATTTGTCATAACTGTGCAGATACATACGTACGTACTTATTATACAATGCATATCAGCATGGACGCAGCACGGGCCCCGGAGCATCTGTCCACCCCCTCCCCAGTTGTCCTCAATATCGA